GCTTTCCACGAGACAGCATCACCAATCCGAGCGGTTTTTCACCCGCAGCCCAGGTACGGTGGCGGATGGGCCGCAGGCCAGCCATCGTTTGATGGTCTGGGAGCCCGGCCCATGTATCACATTCCTCCTCATTCTCCTCCATTTCTCCTTTCTCCATTTCTTCCGTCTCCCAAACCGTCCTCCCCCTCTCCTCCTTCTCATCCTCCTCCTCTTCTCCGTCCTCCTCCTCCTCCTCGCCCCTCTCCTCTTCCTTCCCCTCCTGCCCCGCACCTCTTCGTCTTCCTCCTCCTCCTCCTCCTCCTCCTCCTCCTCCTCCTCCTCCTCCGCCGCATTCCCATGTCCTTCTTCCATGTCTTTCGTCCTCGCCCCCCCATTCATGCTCTCTCCTCCAAGCCCTCCTTCCGCGAAGTCGGCGCGCGCGCCGCCATTGCCCCAGCGATCTCACACATGGTCACCCGAACGGGTATCATTCGCACGACTTGCATTTCAGAGTTCTGTTGCTCTCCGCGCGCGCCACGTTCTTCCCCGCCACTGGTGGGTCATGCAGACCTATCCCAGGCGGCTTCGGCTATAGGCTGCCTGGTGGCGGCAGGGGTGACGGGTGCAGGCCGGGCCCTCGGCCCCCGCGCTCATAGCTTCTGCCCAACCGACATTTCATTCAGCTGCTGCGCGAGCCGCGCGCGCTCTACTTGGTATGTACTACTGGATGGGAAGTATCAAAATTGCGATCTGGTCAATTCATATTATGTAATCAAGCTGTTCTACGGGACGATGCTGATTTTTTGTATGCAAATCGAGCCATAACGGACGTATGCCAATGTGGATTTCTGGACCATGCGTGGGGAACGCCGACTTCGGCAGCTTCCTCTCGCAAGTGCCCATGCACTGATACGCCTGCCAACTGCGCGCCGAGAACCCGAGGTCCTTGCAACCTCCACACACCACTCTGGTCCCTTTCTTCTTCCGATGATATTCACCTTGTTCCTTCTCTAAATGTTTCGTGTCCGAGAACACTCCCCCGCGCGCCGCGCACGTCAGCGGCTTCGCGTCCGCCTCGGCTTTCTGTTTGCGATTCGTTGCCTCCGCATTTCCCCGCCGCGTCTCTTTCTCCCGCTCCTCCGCGCATTTCCGACAGAGCCTCTCCCCCGCTGCGTTGTGCTTACTCTGTGCATCCGACATTTCCACCCGCTGTTCAAATAGCGTCAGGCACTTCCTGCTCTAACATCGCACTCTCCCAACGCTCTCGTTCCACTTGGCGTTGCCGGTGCGCGATTTCTGGTTCGCTTTGACATGTTTGCACTTCGCGCAATAATGGTCCGTATGGTTTTGGATCCGTCCCCATCATTCGCCCCCTCCCCGCCGCGACCGTCGTCATGCCATGTCGACTCCTCCCCCTCTGCTCTCGTCGCCCATCCCTTGCGCGTCTTGCGCAGTTTTTCATCCTTGCTCTTCATTTCCGCCGTGCATTCCTTACAAAAACCAGGCCTCTCTACCCTCTGGAACTCGTACTTCGTGAACGCCTCCACCAGCAGCCTCCGCTGGCACCGCTCGCACTGGTCTCGCGGCATGAGCCTCGCCTCCCACTCATCCCAATCCACGCTCTCCCCACGTAGCACCTGCAACAGCGCCTGCGTGCCCCGCATCTCCCTTTCGTTGTGCGGCTGCCTATCGAAAGTAAGTTCCCCCGCCTCCGCACCCGCGCTATGGCGACGCAGCTGGACATCCAACTTACGCCGCGCCCTCTCTCCAGATCCGCTATAACTGCGGCCATTGTCCGTCCTTGGGCGGCGTGCGGCGTCACTGCCAACGCTGGCGTGATCATGAATTGCGTCCGCTTCGCGCCCGACACTGGGTGCTTCCGATAGTCATCCAAGAACCACTGGCGCCCCTTCGATGGAAATATTGGATTCAGCCCTGGCTCCCACCCTGGCAGGTGCCATTCCTTCGCATGGAAATCCAACACAATCATCCTGGGCAAATGCGACAAGACCTCTTCATCGTCGTCTCCCACGACCTCGCCCTCGTGCAACACCCACCCATGTATGGTCGCTGCGCGTCCCCGCAGCAGCTGTTTCTTCGACCTGTCCAACTGATCCCCCAGTGCCATGGGCATCACCTTCGCTTGCGGGTGCCACCCCGGTAAGCTTGCGCACACCTTTTCGCGGTACGCCAGCCATCGCATCTTGTCATCCACCGTGCGCGGCCGTCTCTGTTACCCCCCACGGCACGGGCGATCTCTGGCTGCGAGTCATAGGAGCTGCTCTCCGCGTTCCTTCGCCCACTGCACAGCTCTCTACTTCCTGACGTGGCACTGAATGTGCTGATTGGCATACACCGCAACGGCCTCCACACATTTCTCCCCGCGAAAACGCGGGTCCTCTGGCGACGTCGCAACGAGTTTCCTTCTCTCTCGCTCAGCTTTACGCAGCCGCACTGCAGCCCGTGATCTTTGGTAATGGCCTCTGCGTTTCGTCGACACCGCGCGTCACCGCACTGCGGTGCGTCGTTCGCCCGCGACCCTGCTAGGTCCCGCGGTTGTGATGACGTCTGACCTTCCCCAGATCACGTGCCCAAAACTTCCTGGGGGAGCGGGGCAGGGGTGAAGGAGAAGAAGGAATGGGAGGAAGAGGAGGAAGAGGACGGCGGGGGGGAGGGGGACGAGGAGGAGGGGAGAGGAAGAGGAGGAGGACATGTATAAAGCGGAGGAGGAGGAAAAAAGTGCCAGGAGGGAGACGGGGGCGAGGAAGAGGAGGAGGAGGAGGAGGAGGAGGAGGAAGAGGAGGAGGCAGGAGAGCCCTGGCACGCGCTGCGTACCGCAACTGCGCGCCCCCGAAGCCACGCCCCCTCGCATGGTCACGTCCCTCCCCGCACTCTCCATGGGCGGCAGCCCGCTGTGCCTTACGCCAGGTTTTCGTGCTCGCGAGGCCACGGCCCGCTTCGAAACCTTCGACTAGCAGGTGCCCGCGAATCCGCGCCCACCTCGAACAAATACTACGCGCTGGCGCCCCTCGGGACCGCAGCGCGTTGAGATTGCGACAGCCTCTCGCCCCCCCCCCCCCCAGCCGCAATCCTTTGTGAAATACGCCAGGTTCGCGCTTCCGAGGCCACCGCATCTTTGTACCTGATGACACGGCTGCCCCCCGAAGCCGCAACGCTTCAAAATTACTACGCGCTGGCGCTCCCGAGGCCACGAACCTCACGAAGGCCGCCCACAAGCGCCATCCCCTCTACAGAGCTGGACACCCGTAATGATCTGTGTTGGGATATATGTTCGGGCACGGCGGTGATCTAAAGAAAAAACCACACGGAAGCCCAACGCGATACTCGAGGAACATGCAGGATATCCTCCTGATGGAATGTGGCTGTCAAGTTTCGGGGTACAATATCCATCGGGCACAATTGACACCCGTCGCAGCCAGGTTGGCTACCGACCGCCGGGGTACCAGACCCGAACGGGCGCGGTTGGGAACCAAACTGAATGACGGACCTGGAACGCCAACGATGTAAGAGAACACATGCGATCACGCATGCGACAGAAACCGTCGTCATCCATCCTCTGGACCAGCCGCCCCGCGCATCCCTCCTCCGCTGTCGTCATCCTCGCCCACCCAATTGTCCTTCCCTCCTCCACCTTTTCCTCGTCCTCCTCCTCCTCATCATCAGCAGTCCTCCTCAACCCGCTCACCCTTTTTTGGAACCACGAAATGGCACCTCTGGCTCTCCAGACCAACTTTTCCGACTTCATGGCGCTCAAAGCCGTCCACGAGGCCCCCACGGCCGCCCGAAGATCGCCAAAGAGGGTCCCAAGAGGCTCTCAAGACGGCCCAAAAGAACTCCAAGACGGCCCCAGAGGCGCCAGAGACGGTCCAACAGAGCTCGAAGACGGCCCCAAGAAAGGTCCAACAGAGGAACCACGAACCGAGAATTCCAACCTTCCTCCCGCTGCCCCCAGAAGATCCCACAATGCCGCCAATAAAGCCCAAGAGACCCCCATGAAGCACCCAAAGGGCCCCAAGGAGCCCCCAAGAGGCCCAAAAGAGGCCCCACAAGGCGTGCCACTCCCGGGGCCCGTGGCCCCCCACAGACATGGCAACACAAGAAACAAGGGGTCGGCGGATGTGGCGCAAATCTGTAAAATCTGTATATATATATATATATATATTCACCATCCTCCAAACCCAACATGCCATCATTCTACTACACGGTCTTCGTTTCCAAAAGAACACCCATCTGCTCATCAGCCTCCGTCTCCAACACGACGCCCATCTACTACACAGCCACCGTCTCCAACGCAACACCTCTCCACTAGACAGCCTCCTGGGGCAAGAGTTCATCATTAGAAGTTGCATCAAAGGCCTCAGCCCGCCCGCCGACCGCCGCCCGCCGCCGCCCGCCGTCCGAAAACCCATCTACTACTCAACAGCCTCCGTCTCCAACGGACGCCAGCTGCTTGGGGTGGCTTCTCCGTGGCCTCCAGGGTATTTGGGGGCCCCTGCGGGGCCTCGTGCGCACAGGACTGGCGGACCCTCGTAGATCTTGAACGGAATTGCAGTGACGTCTTCTGCTCGATGATGTTTTGTTGGTCTTCGTCGGCCTTCGATTTTCACAGACCTCAGTAGATTTCAATGTGTCGGTGTTGGTTGATGTTAGATGTCCTTTGTGTATGTACATCGTTTCCCCAGGTTTTCGTCGCCATTATATGTTCGACGACTATGTTCGTCGACATTGGATTTAGTCAAACTGATTTGTCGTATACGCAAGTGCACACTGGATGTTCGTAGATTTTTCAGTCGATTCTCGTCGACGTTCGATTCTCGCTGACCTTTCGTTGATTTTCGTTGCCATGCGCTTTTCGATGGTTCTTCACTGATGTTCGTCGGCGTTCGATTTCCGTTGATGTTCGTCGACGCTCAATTTTCGCCGACTTCTCATTGAGCCTACCCCGCCACCTAGTGTACCCCTGAAAGAGACAGGGGGCGGCGGTGATCCACTACAGGCGCCCGCGATGTGACTGGACTGCAGGCGCCTTTCTTCGCGGAAGCCGCAGTGCCAGTGGAACGCGCACTCGGTGGCGCACAGGGCTGCTGCGATGCTCCACGACAGCGCGGTCTTTACCCAACCATTGGGCCTTCGAGGGGTGGGAGGGTGTAGGAGGAGGGAGAGGAGGGTCCCTCCGCCTCCTCCCGATCTTCCTCTTTCTCTGACTCATCACCATCACCATCGCACCAGCACCCTTATTATCATCAGCATCAGTAGAATCCTCCTCCTCGTCGTCATCATCATCATCACCACCACCATCATCATCAGCAGAATCATCACCCGCAGCAGCAACAGCGACATCATCATCATCATCATCATCAGCATCACCATCAACATCATCATCAGCATCATTAATATAATCATCAGTCTCATCGCCTCTTCCTCATCATCCTAGCTTCATCCCTCCTCATTCCACCTCCTCATTCATCCTCCTTACTCCTACCCTCCCTCTCCTTCCTGTCGGACACACACACACAGGAAATGCGTCCACCACATCACTCCATGAGATCTCGTGCAGACAGAAGGAATGCGATGGGGAAGGTGGGGGACTGACAGTTTCGGATCGTGAGCCGCACGAGCGCTGCGTGTGCTGAAGGTGTGCGATCTGCTCTTTCCCTCTCCCTGCTCCTTAACTTTACCACCCGATCCCAACCCACGCCATCCACACAGAAAGCTGTGGCCACCGAGAGCACACGCCATGGACATGCCCTCAATACGCATGCGGCTACCCCTCCTCCCTCTCCTCCCTCTCCTCTCCCTTATCCCCTCCTCCTCCTCCTCCTCGTCCTCCTCGTCCCCTCCTGCCTCCTTCGTCCTCCTCCTTCTCCTGCTCCTCCTCATCCTTCTCATCCGTATTGTTTTTTATTATGCTTATGTTTCAATGTTACTATCCTCCCCCTCCTCCTTCTCTTCCTCCTCGGTCTCCACCTCATCATCTTTCCTCCTCAGCCTCTTCGCCCTCCTCTGTCATCCTTCCTCCTCCTTCCTTTTCCTTCCATCCATCTTTAGTTCCTTCCTTCCTTCCTTGCTTCATTCCTCCCTTCCTTCCTTACGTATGTCCAACGTCCTTCATTCCTTACTTTTTACTCTCCTCCTCATCCTCCTCATCACTCTTCCTCTCCTTGCGCCTTGTGACTGGTGCAGGCTCCTCCATGGAAGGTGCCAGCGAAAGCTCTTCGGCAATCGTCGGCACTTGAGTGAAAAATCGCCACGAGGAGGAGTACAGAAAGGAGCCACTGCAGCAAGACAAGCATGGCCATGGGCAGGAACAAGAGGAGACAGTGTGTTTGGATTCTGCGCTGGGAGGGGACTGCAACTTCGGGTGAAACGCCTGCTAGCCCCGGGCGGGATAATATTTGGAATAGGGAGGCGGAGCGTGGGGAACAGGAGGACGATGCGGTGCCGCATGGTGAATAGGTCTGGCAGGGAACAGACCATGAGGAGGACCAGCAGCAGCAGTAGCAGCAACAGCAGCAGCAGCAGCACCAGCAGCGAAATCAGCAGCAGCAGCAGGGACAACAAGCAGCGCCGACACTGTCGACCCCTTCCCCGGGGGCAGCGCTTCGTCCCCGACACATGTTCGATCATCCTGGAGCCCAGAAGCGCTCCCCCCTCCCCCCGCAGGCCCACACGTATACACACACCACACACACATATATATATATATATTATATATATATATATATATATATATATGTATATATATATATATACAAGACTGAATTGGCGCTTCGCGCCATGCACGTTGGCCCTTGAGGTTTGGCATGCAAACGGGAGGGCAACGAGGTATAACGGAGCATTTAGCGATAGCTCGTTGCTGTCTTTTCTGGCACCATCGTTCCCACAGATTTCCTGTTCCTCACTCTCGCCCTGTACTGCGAACTCGTCCCCATCCTCATCGGAGGCTCAAACTAGGAGAGCGTCTTGGGGGCCTCAGGAGAACTTCACGGGCTTGCTGGGGCCTTCTGGAGGTCTTCTTGGTTGAAAGCGGCTTGAGCCAAACTGGGTACGCATGACGACGACGATGATGATGATGATGATGATGGCGATTATAACGATGCTGATGGTGGTGGTGTCAATGGTGATGGTCATGCTGATGGCCATAATGCTGATAACGGTGCTGACGACAGTTAAGAACATGTGGATGGCGATGATGCGGACGGTGGTGGTGATGATGACACTTGAGATGGCAACGGTGATGATAATGATGGTAGAAACGATGATACTGGTGATAGTAATGATGATGACTGTGATAAGGACGGTGGTGATGATGATGGTGATGAGGGTGATGATGGTTATGGTGATAGTAATGATAAGGCTGACGATGGTGATGATGATGGTGATGATGTTACTGATGCTAATGATGACGATGGTGGTGATGATTGTGGTGATGATGATGATGACGATGGTGTTGGTGAAATTGATGCTGGTGGCGATGATGCTGGCGCTAATGAAGATGATGACGATGCTGATAGTAATGGTGGTGCAGCTGATTATGCCGACAATAACGATGATGATGGTGATGTTGATGCTGATGGCAATGATTCCGATGGAGATGGTGGTCGTGCTGATGGTGCGCATGATGGTGATAATGCCGCTGATGCTGGCGAATATTATAATGGTGATCACTCCAATGATGGCTATGATGATGCTGAAGATGATGATCGTGGTGGTGCTGATGGTGATGACGATGGCGACGATGATGGTGACGCTGATGACGATGCTGATGATTGCGATGGTGGTGATAGTGTAATGGTAATCCGAGAGTACTGATGATGAGAAAGGAAGGGTGGTGATGATGGTGGTAATGATGATGGTGATAATGGTGATGGTGGTTGTGGTAGTGGTGATGGCAATGCTGGTAATGGTAACGATGACCCCGACGACGACAATGATGACGATGCTGATTGACGATGGTGACAGAGATGGTGATTGTGATGGTGATCGTGGTAATGACGACGGCGACGGCGAAGATGATGACCATGATGACGAAGATAGTGACGGTGATGAAGATGGTGGAGATGATGGTGATGATGATGGTGCTGGTGATAATGGTACTGATGACGAGAATGACGATGATTATGGCGATGATGAGGGTGGTGATGATGATGATGATGATGATGATGATGATGATGATGATGATGGGAATGGTGGAGATGATGGTGATGATGTTGATGATGATGCCGATCGTGATGACGAGGCTGCTGGTGATGATAGTAGTGATACTGGTTGTGATGCTGATGTTCACGATGATGGTAGTGGTGATGATGACGGTGGTGATTATGATGATGACGGCGATGGTGGTCATCATGGCGACGATGATGATTGATAATGCTGATGATGATGGTGGTGATGCTGGTGACGAAGGTGCTGCTGATGACGGTGATGATAATGACGACGATGATGATCGCACGTAGCCTCGGGTAGCTTCGTGCGCGCTTAGCGGCAGCGGCAGGGGCGAACCTCAGAGCAAGACGTCGAAGCCCTTGAAATTGCCAAGGCCGCCTTCCAGAACTGGTCCACCAGAACCAGATGCTCCGCATTTCAATGCGAAGAGGTAGTCTATGGTGACGACGCCGCAGATGGCGGCGAGGTGGTGATGGTGATGTTGCTGATGGTGATAATGATGCAGAAGGTTATGGTTATGGTGATGATGGTGATGCTGATGGTGATGCTGATGGGATGGCGACGATGAGGGTGATGACGATAATGGTGATGACGGCGTCGCATGATGATGGTGATGATAAGGATGATGGTGATGATGGTGACGAAGGCGATAACAATGGCGATGGTGACGACGATAGTGACGGTGACGAGGATGATGATGATGGTGGTGGCGATGCTGATGATGGTGACAATGATGATTATTCGGATGATGATGAAGAAAATGCTGATGAGTATGATGATGAGGGTGCTGATGGAGTTGGTGATGGCGATGAAGGTGGTAATGATGATTGTCACGATGGCGATGACGATGATGGCGATGGTGATGTCACCACCATCGCCAACACTATCGTCATCATCATTGATGATGACGATAGTGTTGGGGATGGTGATGGTAATGGTGGGGCTGATGGTGGTACTGATGGTGATGCTGATGAGGACGATGATGATGACGATGGTCATGAATGTGGTAATGATGATGGATGGTTGGGGTGTTGATGATGATGCTGGTGATGGTGACGAAACGGCAGAGGAGGAGGAGCAGTAGGAGGAGGACGAGGAGAAGGAGGAGGCCCAGCGTAAACCCAAGATTCATCAACGATGTTTAAAGCACACACCCTCCCTTAAAAATCCCTCTTCACAGGGCCCTTCAAGGGGTCATTTCCACTGAGTAAATTGCTCCGTTGGGGGGTAACGGTGTGAACATCTTGAAGCGTGCCACAACACCTTTCTCAGGATTTCAGCGCCACGAATTAACCTGCGTATTACGTCCTGGCGATCCCGAATCGTGCCAGAACACCATTCCTGGGACCTCACACCGCGAATCCATATAATTATTGCGACCTGTCGCTCCAAAGCACCAATTCTAATCCATTGGCCATGACAACCAATAAAACTCGTGCAAACTTGTACACCGAATGTGCGCGGCGCTCAAGCGAGAGCCACATGTTGGAAAGGAGCCGCCGTCAACCCGTGAAACTCGTGCAACGTGTCAAAAGAATGCGCGCAACTCTAAAGCGAGAACCACATGTTGAAAACCAGCCGCCGTCAATCCGTAAAACTCGTGCGATTTGTTTGACAAATCTGCGCGGCGCAGAGCGCACATGTTGGAAAGGAGCCGCCTTCCATCCGTGAAGCTCTTGCATAATTGAAAACCAAAATGTGCACGGCGCCAATGCGATAACCGCATGTTGAAAAGCACCCGCCCGCAAGCCGTGAAACTCTTGCAAATTCTTGAAACGAATGTGTGCGGCACCGAGGCCAGAACTATATTTTGAAAACGGGCCGCCCTCAATCCGTGAGGCTCTTGCAATTTGTTTAACCAATGTGCATGGC